TTGAATAACTGGGTAGTTTGGAACAGGCTGGAACTGAGGTTACCAGAAAGGAAAAACTCCGCTCTCCAAGTTTCTTAGAGAATATGGCTCTCAAGTAAGGGGCCCCTCCACCCCAAATCACAGCCTGGCAGTTCTTGCATCCCCAGTCCTGGATCTTGCAAGGTAAATCACACTTCCTACAGTGAAAATGGCTGTCATACAAAGTACAGTTTGCCTAGAACACTGACAGACCAGAGAAGGGAAAGTACCTTGCGAGCAAGGTGTTTGAAGTCCTCAGTTGTAGTAATTCTTCCCACTTTGCAGTCAGGTTTCCGGTAAGGGTTCAGGCACTGGACGATGAACTGGGACATCTGAGACAGAGTAAAGAGCACATGGTGTTCAAAGATATGGAGAGGTCACGAAGCTACACCAAAAAAACATAGCAAGTGCAGCTAGCCAATCCTCCCCTGTTCTTCCCTCAGGGTGGCTGCTTTGAACAGTGGAACCACCATGAGTCAAAGATAAAAGGATCCTTGGTCAGCCCTGAGACGGGAAGAGCTCCCAAGGATGGACAGAGCACGCCTCACAGCAGAAGCTGGAGGGATCCATCGGCTTCAGGCTTCAAGCAACAAATTCTGTGAACTCAGCATACAAAGACTGCAGCTAGGTTCTGTGGTCCCTGGAGGAAGGGTAGGCAGAGCAAGCATTCCAAGAGATACTGTGAGGGTTAGCAACCCAAGGACTGTAAGCATTTTGTATTTGATGGTTACTTAGAGTCTGTCAGTGCTGCACTTCATTGTGTTCATATCACAGCCATGGGGAGCAGATGGAAACATGGTCTAACAGCCAGGGCTCAAAGGGAACAAAAAAAGTCAATGACAGTCACTGAACAAGGACTACCCATCCCTGAAATTCAGTAAGCCTTCAGGCACACAGAGACAAGGCTGTATCACAAGATGGGCACTAAATCAACAGCTGCTGGGTGACTCTGAGAAACTCAGTTTTTATTCTTAGAGGAGTCTTTTAAAGGTTTTCTGACCTCCATATTCTCCTCTTTCAATCCATCCCCCAAATACAGTCAAATGTTTCTATATCTCCTGTTTAAAATCCTGTCAACAGTTTGTTGTAACCCACAGACCCTCAGGCCCTATAAGAAACAGCAAAACACCATTCAGCCTCATTTCCAACATCCCTTGTCATATTCTGGGGAGTTAGTTCTAACTCCCTAGAAGGGGTGCTGTTCTCTTGCCTCTGCATTCTGCTACCCCAAGTTATATCCCTTCCCAATCCATCTGGCCAGTTACTAGTTTTGATTCAAGGGTCCTGCCTGCTACTTCACACAGTGGCCTCCAGTCTAAGCATAGCCACTCTTCATATAGCTGCCACTTAATTACAGATTTGCTTCCTCAAATGCAGTTTTTTTTGTTTTTTGTTTTTTTTTTTTTTTTGACAGGCAGAGTGGACAGAGAGAGAGAGAGAGAGAAAGGTCTTCCTTTGCCGTTGGTTCACCCTCCAATGGCTGCCATGGCTGGCTCAAATACAATCTTAGCCTCTTCAATGAACAAAGACTGGAGTTTAGAATTTGGATGGGGGCTGGCACGGTGGCGTTGCAGGTAAAGCTGCCACCTGCAGTGCCAATATCCCACATGGGCGCCAGTTTGAGTCCTGGCTGTTCCACTTCCCATCCAGCTCTCTATGTCCTAGGAAAGCAGTAGAAGATGGCCCAAGTCCTTGGGCCCCTGCACCCATGTGGGAGACCCAGAAGAAGCTTCTGGCTTCAGATTCGCCCAGCTCCAGCCGTTGCAGCCTTTTGGGGAGTGAACCAACGGATGGAATACCTCTCTCTCTGCCTCTCTGTAACTCTGCCTTTCAGATAAATAAATAAATCTTAAAAAAAAAAAAAAAAAAAAGAATTTGGATGCCATAAGTCAGACAGGAAGTTGAATGTTCTGTTGGCTGGAAATATACTTCAAACAATATAAGGAAGAGCTGCTTTCTCCCAATCTCTTAAGAGTTAGGTAGCTGCCAAAAGACTCAGCAGAGAGAGAGAACTGGAACTTGAACTGTAAAGGTCAGAATTCACAAAGTCTTTTGTCTAGAACTGGCCTTCCCTGAATGTTAACAGTTCTTTGACCTGTACATAAGGAATGACAATGCCCACTTCAAGGGCAAAATGAAATGGCGGATATGAAAGTACTCACCCAGTTGTGAAGGAACACATCAACATATCATTACTAACAACTAGAGGGTCACATCACAGATACCAGGCAAGCAGACCAACACTTCAGAAAGCTTTCTTTTGCCATAACAAGGCCTGCACGCAGTCAGGTAAATGGATCTGCAGAAGAACTCTTGTTAAGCCAACAAGAGTTGGCTGAGAAGTTCTTAATGGTAGAAGCACTATGTCAGCATGATTCACAATTCTAAATAAATTTTATGCTCTCGCCTGTCTTGGTCAAGGGAGACACTATATACAGGACAAGAAAAGGAAGGACTCAGGTTGAAGCCTGAGGAGATTAGTGCCCTCATCTACCAGATCTTACCTCTTTTCTGAATACTTCTTTGCTTTTCTTAGCCAGCTCACTGGAGGTGTCTGCTTCTGCTGTCTTGGGCTTTTTTGATGTCTAGAAATAGAAAATACAACAGTGCTAGCACGAGAAGTCTGTCCAGAACCCTCCTCCTTTATCCCAGCTGGGATACCTAATTCTTTACATGAGAATCCAATTAAAAGCCTTGACTCAGCACATGACCCGAAGTCAAATTGGTTGTTCTGTTTCAAATCCTGTCATTTGGTTCTCACCTCCTCCTTAAAAGTCGGGTTCCAGTCTTCCACCCAAAGTTGAGCTATGTTCTTCAGTAGCTTTACGTGTTCAGTTGTTTCAGTCATTCTCTCCATAGAGGAACATGTTATATGATGTGGACTGTTCGTGCCCCTTTTCTAAGCTTAAGCCCCTCACAATGTCAGGTGAGGCCTAGGCTCTTCCCTTCTGCCAGCTCTTCCATTACAGGATTCCAGACAAGGGCAAAATGTTCTGTTTCCAAGACCTTTGGTTACTCATCACTGTTACTCTAAAGGCAGAGCTGGCTAGACTACAAAAACCAGTCTCAGCATGAAGGAGAGGCTCCTTGGAGATTGGTTATCTCCAGTTCAGGAATAGAAAGACTAAGGGACTATCAAGCTTTTAAGGGGAAGGAGATGGGGATCAATGCAGCCAGTCAATGGATGAGTAAATGCTAAGGTAGAGAAGACACCCTATCCCAAGCTGGAAAGATGGTGACAAACCTAGGTACTTTCCTAGCCCTGCTAGAGGGAGGTGCTTCTTAGTTCCACAAGCAGGCATCCCTGGCACACAAAGCATCTGCCACACAGGCCACCTCCCCACATCCTTGCTCACCACTAGCCATCAGGCCCCTTTCCCAGTATATACAGATATATATATATGTGTGTGTGTGTGTGTGTGTGTGTGCGCGCGCGTACTTCTGAGCTAGAGGCTCAGAGAAATTTTATACTCCCCAGTTTCTGTTTTTCTCAGTTCCATAAACAGTATAAAGGCCTGGTGACAAAGAAGCTGTTCAACTCCATCTGCTCTGGAATGGCTCCAGAGAAAGGTGGCACTCCCTAGGCTTATGGCTGTTACAAATCAACTTTCTCGTCTTCCCTATAAAGTTTTACATGTTTTCCATTTTTCTACATTCTTTCTTTGGCTGTGGGAGTGCAGGAAGGGTGAGGAGGTAGGGTAGAAAGAGAAGACTCAACTTCTGCTTTCAGAAAACCAACCAAAAAAAAACACAAGCAACTCCATTTTCAAATGTTTTGCTCTAGGATTTTTAAATTATTCTTTCCTGGTTGTAGAATATGGGTGTGTTCTATAATTAAGACCCCAAGTGAGGACAGGTGGCATAGTGGTTAAGACTCTGCTTGGGATACCTGCATTCCGTATTTGAGTACCTGGGTTTGAGTTCCAGCTCTGCTCCTAACTCCAGCCTGTTAATGCACACCCTGGGAGATAGCAGGTGATGGTTCAAGTAACTGGGTCCCTGTTACCTGTGTGGAAGACTTGGATTGGGTTCTTGGCTCCCAGCTTCAGCCTGGGCCATTGTGGGCATTTGGGGAGTGAATCAGCAGATCGGAGCTCTCTCAGTCTTTCTCTCTGCCTCTCAAATAAATAAAGAAGAAAAAGACTTCAGGTAGCCGGGGCCGCAGCTCACTAGGCTAATCCTCTGCCTTGCGGCGCCGGCACACTGGATTAGTCCCGGTCGGTTGGGGCACCGGATTCTGTCCCGGTTGCCCCTCTTCCAGGCCAGCTCTCTGCTGTGGCCCGGGAGTGCAGTGGAGGATGGCCCAGGTGCTTGGGCCCTGCACCCCATGGGAGACCAGGATAAGTACCTGGCTCCTGGCTTCGGATCAGTGCGGTGCGCCGGCCGCAGCGGCCATTGTGGGGTGAACCAACGGCAAAGGAAGACCTTTCTCTCTGTCTCTCTTTCTCACTGTCCACTCTGCCCGTCAAAAAATTAAAAAAAAAAAAAATTAAAAAAAAAAAGACTTCAGGTAGCAAAGAATCAAGAATTGCTTGAATAAGCCAAGGAAACCCCAATATACACTCAGCTGTTCTCCCATAAATCTCAGAAGTGAGCAGCAATAATAAAGAGTATCAGAAGGTTCCTTCAGGTGTGAAAACAATCCAAGGATCCTGGATCTATGGAAGAACTAGGCTCCTCATGAGGCTACTATGTAAAACAGGAATGTCTTGCCTTCCTCTGAACAGGGCGTGTTCAGAAAGCTCTCTACATGCACCAAACGCACATCTAACACCTTCTAATTTAATCAGACTTGATGAGGTTGAGAGCTTTGGAAGAGTGCCCAAACTTAGAACATGGAAATCATAAACCAAAATGAAGTACTCTTAGGGGTATTGAGATTTGCAAACCCCTCTCTTTGTGATCTAAAAATGGCATTGAAATAATTCCAGAAACTGACTAATGCTTATTACTCAAGCCCAATGTCAAGCGGAGGAGCCAGAGTCAGAGCTGAGGTCAGCATCAGTTATTTACATGAAAAACCTTGGGACACCTACCTTCCCCAAAGTCCGATTTAGAATTTTAGCTTCTCTAAAAACACGTGAACTTCTAAAACCAAGTGGTATTAATCTTCTCAAAAATCTACTGCTAATTAAAAAATCTCTTAGCACCAGAAGAAACATTCAACTAGGCCAATGGTTCCTAACATAAAATGGGATACTTCAAGGGATAGGGGGCACCAGTCTGTATAACAACCGGCATTGCGGAGATTTAAGAAAACCACTGGTGTGGACGGGAGGAGGCTTTCATACATAAAAAAGTAAAGTGTTGCCAGGTCTTCCCTAAAAATCAGTTTGCCTTTTTCTATGACAGCTCACATGTGGAATTAGTCAATGGATGGTTTCACTGGCAGTCTATGTGAACAACGGCCAGATGAGAGCAAACAATGGGCCTGGCTGAAAGCCAGAGCTTACTGCCTTTAGAAGTTGACCCTGCTGTCAGCCATAACCACTCGTGAACTCTCAGAGAATGTGTCTGAATGTGAGAAGGAAGAACTAAGTACTTTGACATTACTCAAGGTAAGCTTTGAGACTTTCTCACTTAGATGGCAAGGGCCTTAAGCTTATTGGGAAGCTGCAGCAACTACACAGACTGTAGGACAACAAATGCAAATTCTATTCTTTATTATACCTACAGACACACCATCATGTCACAAAGCCCATGTGTCTTGGATTTGAGAGGTGTGACCTGACAGAGATAGGTCCCCAAAAGGGAGAGTGGGGGGGCCGGGGCTGTAGCTCAGCGGGTCAACACCCTGGCCTAAAGTGCTGGCATCCCATACAGGCGCAGGTTCGAGACCTGGCTGCTCCACTTCCGATCCAGCTCTCTGCTATGGCCTGAGAAGGCAGTGGAGGATGGCGCAAGTCCTTGGACCCCTGCACCCGCGTGGGAGACCCAGAGGAAACTCCTGGCTCCTGGGTTCAGATTGGCACAGCTCCAGCCATCGCATCCAACTGGGGAGTGAACCAGCAGATAGGAGACCCCCTTCCTTTCTGCCTTTCCTTCTCTTTCGGTGTAACTCTGATTTCAAATAAATACATAAATCCTAAATTATTTTAACTAACATTACTGTCCCCTAGGGTGCCTATATCAGGAGACAGGAGCTAGAAATTGAACCCATGTACTGTGTTCTGGAAAGCAGGCATCTTAACTAGGCTAAATGCCAACCACAATATAGGTGTTTCTTTTTTTTTAGTTTTTAACAGTTTCAATATAGTTCATAGACAATACCACAGATGTTTTCTATACACATCTCTCATGCATCTTCTCAAACTACTGCTATCAAAATATCCTCAAAGAATTTTCTACATATGTCTATTTTAACAATAATCCCACTGTATTCTTGCTTTATAGCTCTGGCTATTTCCTTAGACTGAACTTCTGGATCATCAGGATCTGTATTATTTCTTTTTCTATTTCTAATATTCCATACAGGGTCAGTAAATTAATGAAACCGTAATACAACAGTCTTTTTCCAAAGGGATCAAAATCTAAATGAAAGCCATAATGAGGGGGGCCGGCCCTGTAGCATAGAAGGTAAAGCCTCCACCTTCAGTGCTGGCATCCCATATGGGCGCTGGTTCGGGTCCTGGCTGCTCCACTTCTGATCCAGTTCTCTGCTATGGCCTGGAAGAACAGTAGAAGATGGCCCAAGTCCTTGGGCCCCTGCACTCTTGTGGGAGACCCAGAGGAGGCTCCTGGCTCCTGGATTGGGATCAGCACAGCTCCAGCTGTTGCAGCCAACTGGGGAACGAACCAGTGGATGGGAGATCTTTCTCTGTTTAACTCTTTCAAATAAATAAATAAAATTAAAAAAAAAAAAAAAAAAGCCATGAGGAAAAAATGGGGCAGAAGGAATAAAAAGAATTGCCTTATAGTATCCTTTTCATTCTTGTCTTCTAAGATGCTAGCTAGACGAATGCAACTGTAAATGCTTAGAAGAGTTAGAAGCAAATATAAGGGGCATTCAAAAAAGTTCATGGAAAATACATATTGTGAAAAAGCTATGCATAACTTTCAAAATCTTTTCTCACAAAAATAGACATCTTGTAATTAAATTTTGCAGGTTTTTTTTTTTTTTTTTTGACAGGCGGAGTGGACAGTGAGAGAGAGAGAGAAAGGTCTTCCTTTTTCCGTTGGTTCACCCCACAATGGCCGCTGCGGCCAGCGCACCGCACTGATCTGAAGCTAGGAGCCAGGTGCTTCTCCCAGTCTCCCACGCGGGTGCAGGGCCCAAGGACTTGGGCCATCCTCCACTGCACTCCCGGGCCACAGCAGAGAGCTGGCCTGGAAGAGGAGCAACCGGGACAGAATCCAGTGCCCCGGCTGGGACTATAACCCGGGGTGCTGGCACCACAGGAAGAGGATTAGCCTATTGAGCCATGGCGCCGGCCTTCCAGGTATTTTTTGAAGTGCCCTAGCTATCTAAGTCAAGTGGATCATTTTGACAGAAAGCTATGATGCAAAGGGATCCAAAGACTGACACCTCATATCTTTGATTTGTACTTCAGGGGATGGTTGGTTGGAAGACAACTCATTGGTTCTTTCTTCAAGTGCATCTAGACTGAAAGAAAACAAATGACTCTAGATTTTTTTCACTGAAATACAAGAAAAGGTAATGATACCAAGTCAGAGACAAAAGCCTAAGAAGCTGAGCTACAGCATGAATGTCCAGGTTGTCTTTAGCAGGAAACTTTATGACACAGACTTTTCCCCTTCGATACTTGTTTCTAGAAAAACTCTTACAGAACCTTCATACACTACTGATAGAAATGTCTGATGAAGTAGCTACTTTGAAAAACAAAAGCTTGACAATTTCTTTAAAAGGTAAACATAAATTTATCCTATGACTTAGCCAATTCTATTCCTAGGTATTTACCAAATGGAAATGGAAATACATGTCCATAGATGTACAACGCCAAGAGCAAATCCTAATCTTCTCACTTTGGATGAGAATGATATGTTAAGGTCGATTCACCAACTTCAACAAATGTACTACTCTGGTACCAGATGTTGATAGTGGGGAAAACTATGCATGTGTGGTGGGCGGATATTTGTGAACTTTGGAATCTCTATTCTACATTCAATTTACTTTATGATCAATTTTGATGTGCCAAAATGGAAGTAAATTGCTCTAAAAATAAAGCCTGTTATTAAAAAGGAATAAGACAAATACCTTTTCAGGCAAACAAAAGCTGAAAGAATTCATCATCAATATATCTGAAATACTAGAAATATTAAAAGAACATTCTCCAGGCGAGAGTTAAATGATTCCAGATGGAAATTCAACTCAACATGAAAAAATGAAGAGTGTTGGAAGTGGTAAATATGAGGATAAATATAGATCTCTGTTGCAAGTTTAAAAATTTTCTTTAACAGTTTAAATCAAAAAATAATCCTGTGGTTAATAAAATGTAAAAACAAAACATAGTAACAGAAGCACAATGCTTAAGAGGCAGCAAAATAAAAGTAGTTTCTTACGATGAGAGAAAAAGTAAATCATACTATAAGCAATTACAGAAAAGTGGTGTATTATATGATAACGGTCTATAATAAGATAAATATTTATAGTGCAAACTTTGGAAAAACAGTTCTCAAAGTTTTAGGTCTCAGGATCCCTTTACACTCAACAAACTGAGGATCCCCCAAAACTCTTATCTATATCTACATATATCAAAATTTTGGGGGGCTGGCCTTGGGGCTCAGCAAGTCAAGCTACCACTTGTCTTGCAGGAGTCCCATACTGGAATGCCAGTTTGGGTTCCTGCTGCTCTGCCTCCAATCCAGCTTCCTGCTAATATACCTAAGAAAGCAGAAGTACTTGGGCCCCTGTACCCACAGGGAAGAAGATGGAATTCTGAGCCCCGGCAGTTTGGCCCAGCCCTGGCTTTTGTGGCCATTTTGGGGAGTGAACCAGCAGACAGGGCTTTTTCTCTGTGTCTCTCCCTCTCTCTCTGTTGCTCTGCCTTTCAAATAAAAATTATTTTTCCTATTAGAAAAATTAAAACTAAGAAAAAATTAAATATTTATTCATCTATTTCTTAAAATAACATTAACAAACCTATTGTATGTTAATAACAATATATTTTTTGCGAAAAAGAACTATTTTCCAAAACTCAAGAAATGTGGTAAGAGTGGCATAGTTTTACATTCTGGAAATTTCCTTAAATGTTTTGCTTAACAGAATACAGCTGGAATCTCATTTCCTTCTGTATCTGATTATGTCACATATGCTCTGGAAAATTCCATAGTATACTTCTGAATGTATTACAATGACAAAGACATATAATGCCTTCGTATTAAAATAGTTTTGACCTTAAGACTTCTTTGAAAGGATCACTGAACTCCTAGAGGTCCGCACACTACACTTTGAGAACCACTGCCTTAGAATAAATAAGTTAAACAAAGAAGTATGAAGCCGACTGAAAAGAAAAATAAAATAGAATCCCTTTGAAAGGCAGAATTACACAGAGAGGAGAGGTAGAGAGAGAGAGAGGTCTTCCATCTGATGGTTCACTCCCCAATTGGCTGCAACGGCCAGAGCCAATCCGAAGCCAGGAGCCAGGAGCTTCTTCCAGGTCTCCCACGTGGGTGCAGGGGCCCAAGGACTTAGGCCATCTTCCACTGCTTTCCCAGGCCATAGCAGAGAGCTGGATCAGAAGAGGGGCAGCCAGGACTAGAACTGGCGCCCATATGGGATACCAGCACCCCAGGGCAGGGCATGAACCTGCTGCACCACAGCGCCAACCCCTCAACTAACAGTTTTTTGCCATCTATTTCCTTAACAACAATATAAAAAAATATTAACTTCAATTCTAACTTTGAACTTGCATTTTCAGATACATTATAAAGTTAGAATAAACAATTTTCCACTCAATTTTCATACCTTTTTCTTTTTTTTTTTACTGTTGTTACTACGAATTTCCTATCACTTTTTCTAGAATTCAGGCCAGGGGTTTAGCAATTATACCCTTGTCTATAATGTGTTCTTTCCTGTGCATGCACATCTTCAGGAAATGACCGTTGAATGAAAACAGTCGCAGTGTTCACTGCATTGCTAACTTTTTATTTTGCCAAGATATTAATTTAGAAAAAAAAAACCAGTAAGCAAAACATAACTATTGGGCCGGCGCCGTGGCTCAATAGGCTAACCCTCCGCCTTGCGGCGCCGGCACACCGGGTTCTAGTCCCAGTCGGGGCGCTGGATTCTGTCTCGGTTGCTCCTCTTCCAGGCCAGCTCTCTGCTATGGCCCGGGAGTGCAGTGGAGGATGGCCCAGGTGCTTGGGCCCGGCACCCGCATGGGAGACCAGGAGAAGCACCTGGCTATTGGCTTCGGATCAGCGCAATGCGCCAGCAGCAGCACGCCGGCCATTGGAGGGTGAACCAACGGCAAAAAGGAAGACCTTTCTCTCTGTCTCTCTCTCACTGTCCACTCTGCCTGTCAAAAACAAAAGAAAACAAACAAAAAAAACTATTTAGTCATCATTTTAAAATGACTATTTTGGGGCTGGTGCTGTGGCATACGTAGCAGTTGAAGGCACCACCCGGCATCCCATATGGGCACTGATTTGTATCCCAGCTGCTCCACTTCTAATCCACCTTCCTACTAGTGCGCCTGGGAAAACAGTCGAAGATGGTCCAAGTCCTATGGCCCCTGCATCCACTTGGGAGACCTGGAAGCTCCTGGATTCTGGCTTCAGATCAGCCCAGCTCCAGCCATCGTGGCCATCTGGGAATTCTGAGCTCTAGCAGCCTGGATGGATGGAAGATCTCTGTCTTTCCCTCTCTCTGTAACTTGACCTTTCAAATAAATCAAGACTATTTTAACTCCAAAAAATTAAGTTAAATAAAGGTCAGTTGTGTTAAATCAGGCTTTAAAAATACATTATCACTGTATTATTCTTTCTTCTCTCTTTTGCTGTGGAAAAATGCTCAGTAAAAAATGATCAAAGAAATGATAATACAGTCCTTGGAGCTTGGAACAAAACTTCCTAGGTTAGCAGGAGCTGAGACATAAAGGAAAGGCCTCAAAAGATTCTCATATTAAAAGCCCAATTCAGGGGCCGGCACTGTGGTGCAGCGGGTTAACGCCTTGGCCTGAAGCACCCACATCTCATATGGGCGCCAGTTCGAGACCTGGCTACTCCACTTCCAATCCAGCTCTCTGCTATGGCCTGGGAAAGCAGAAGATGGCCCAAGTCCTTGGGCCCTTGCACCCATGTGGGAGACCTGGAGGAAGCTCCTGGCTTCAGATCGGTGTAGCTCTGGACGTTGTGGCCAATTGGGGAGTGAACCATTGGATAGAAGACCTGTCTCTGTCTGTCTGTCTCTTTCTCCTCTGTCTGTGTAACTCTTTTAAATAAATAAAAATAAATCTTAAAAAAAAAAAAAAAGCCCAATTCAATGATCACCTTCTCTCCTAAGTTTTCTTTGATTTTCCCTTTTTCTTCCAAATGTTTATTATTTTAATTTTATTTGAAAGGCAGGGTGGGGGGTTCATCTGCTAGTTCACTTCCCAAAAGCCTACAACAAGTAGGGCCAGGTCAGACTAAAGCCAGGAGCCTGGATCTCATTCCATGTCTCCCATGTGAGTAGTAGGGACCCAAGTACTCTAGCTATTGTCTGCTGCCTCCTAGGCTGCGCATTGGCAGGAAAGTGGAGGTGGAAGCAGAGCCAGGTCTCAATCCCAGGCACTCCAACATGGGATGCAAGTGTCCCAGGTAGCATCTTAACAGCTGTACCAAATGCCAACCCCTTTGATTTCCTTTTACCATTGCATCTTCTCTCTAAACATCTCCAGCACTTAGTGTCAAAATCAAAATTTATCA